AATAGCTGAGCTGGTGAAGAAACATTTTAAGGTTTCCTCAGAGGTCCTTCCTCTCTGGCGTAGAATGGGTCAGGGGTTCTGTGGCCTTCAGCTGGGGGACAGCGGCTGTCGCTTCCCCTCCCCAGCCTCAGTTCAGCTCCAGTATAAAGCCCCTTTCAACCCTGAAATTCTATCACTTGGGGTGACTGGGTTTCTTAGATTATTTCCTAGGAAACAAGGAAGAAAGCACAGACAAGAAAGCAGGCGGGGGTCCCAGGATCTGGAAATATCACATATGTCTCTCCTCTCTGAGGGGCTGTGTTGGGACACGATCTCCTCAGCTTCCAACCTTTCACACTGTTCACCAGCGGGCATACCTGGAAGTCAAGATCAGATGATGTAGAACAGCTCAGGGCAGGTGGGTCCCTTGGAGCAGCCCACACCTAGCACTTTGCACCATGCCAGATGCCCAGGGATCCTGAGATGGGGGGCCCTGTCCTGTCTTCAGGAAGGGCATAGTTGAGTAGGGGAATGACAAAAATAACTACAAGAAATCATGGATATTGGGAAGGACCCACAAAAGAGGCATGAAAAGAGCAAAGCACAGTGGGGAGTTTTAAGAGAGGAGCGATCAGCTTGAATTGTGTGGAAGCAGGACAGACTCTGAAGGGCCCAGCATCTTTCTACCTTCCATGACAAAGCCGGGCTGACCAGTATCCAGGGAGCATCTCTTACTGGCTTCACGTCACGCCTGGTCTGGCATCACGAAGATTTGGTCAGGTGCACCTTCTGGTTCCTAGGGTGGGTGGGAACATGTGGAAATTGGATGGCAGGTCTGCCCAGGGCAGGGGGTGGGGGTGGTACTGGTCACCTTGAGGGAGGAGAAGGAGATGCCATTTCTGGCCATCTGGAGAATGTCCTGGCATGGACTCTGGTGAGAAATCTCTGGTGACTACTCCAGCTTTGTCGCTGAAACCATAAATTCTGAACTCAGACAGTTTCTGAGCTTTACTTTCCCATCTAGCATTAGGAACACTAATATATCTGTTTTGCTCACAGTTTTGCCGTCAAGCTTGCACAGGATGAGTGAGAGCACCTTGTACAGTCAGAATTATGTATCAGCTTATAAGAAAGGCTTGAGCCAACTGCCCTGTTGAAGTCCCAGCCTTGCTCTGCACTCCTATGTGACTACCTATTGCCTTGGCCTCTTTATCTACAACATGGGGATAACAGCAGGACTCTTGTCCCAGGGTTACTGGTAATTAAGAGGAGTTGGACGTATAGTACCTGGAGCAGCACCTGGTACTCTGAGCCCTTATTATTATGTTGTAAAGTGCTGCACAGGACGAGGAGGAGGACAAGGAGCAGGCCTTAGACGCAGAAGCAGAGTGAGGGCTCTGCTGCGTCTATATGGAGGGGAGGAGCCAGTCCAGTTCAGTTCTATCCTGAGCTCCAAGTCCAGGCTTTAAAAAAAGGAGCCATAAAAATGCCATCTAACTGACGAAGGTCTGGAGCCCTTGACCACCCTGGAAAAACATCACCTCCACCCTGCCAATATTTATCTCTTCGGCTTGCTTCTGGCCAAAGTCCACACCAGACGTGATTCTACCCCTTGCAGAGCCTTCCCACTGACGGCCCTGTACCAAGGGGCTCTGGCTGGAAGAGATAAGCCCAGAGGGCCAGCTGTGTGGATGCTGTCACGAAATGTAGAGCCAGCTTGGAAAAGGGAGACAGGCTGGGCTGGTTCCAGAGATTGGTATCTGACCTTTGTAAGGAAGAGTCAAGAGTCAGATTCCGTGTCAGAAAGTTAAGATTACAGAACTCTGAGGAGGAATTGGATTCTTTCTCCTCCTTACTCACCTCCCAGTGTATCATCTCACCTTGTTTGGCCTGAACTATTCCAGCAATTTAAAGCATTCTAGGGGCTGTCATATGACCTCTTCTGATCCTTACAACCACCCCACATGGCAGGTGTTGGTGTCAATGTCCTCAAATGAGAAAACTGAAGCTCAGAGGACTCATCTGACTTTGCAGAGGTCCCCAGGTCTCTAGATGGTATAGCTCATCTGCTAGACCGGAGCCCTTCCTGCTACAGAAACACAGACTCACCACCTGCTCAGAGAAGATGCTGCTGGGGCTAAGTCGCTTCAGTCGTGCCCGAGTCTGTGCGACCCCATAGAGGGAAGCCCACCAGGCTCCCCCGTCCCTGGGATTCTCCAGGCAAGAACACTGGAGTGGGTTGCCATTTCCTTCTCCAATGCATGAAAGTAAAAAGTGAAAGGGAAATCGCTCAGTCATGTCTGACTCTTTGCGACCCCATCAACTGCAGCCCACCAGGCTCCTCCATCCATGGATTTTCCAGGCAAGAGCACTGGAGTGGTGTGCCATCAGAGCAGATGAGCAAAGAGCAAATCGACACCCTCAGGACCCTGCTCAGGCAAGATACACTGAGCACCCTACAAGCAGAAGGGAGAGCAGAAGGTCCAGGGCTTGGGTGCGCTGAGGGATGGCTATTGTGTGGGTTTTGTGTCTCATTTACCCTACTAGTTTTCCCGAAAGGATTCTACCAATACAAATATTGACACGGGTCAGGCCTTACAGATTGAGAAAACTGCCTTGTTTCCACTCATTTATCCCAAGGGGAGTCTAGGTGGTTTATTTTTAAATAAATGTATTTACTTATTTATGGCTGCCCTGGGTGCTTATTGCAGAGCACTGGGTCTAGGGTGTATAGGCTTCACTAGTTGCAGCACGTGGGCTCAGCAGGTGTGGTGACTGGGCCACTGGGCTTAGCCATTCCGCAGCAAATGGAATCTTCCCAAACCGGGGAATGAACCCATGTCTCCTGCATTGACAGGTGGATTTTTAACCACTGGGCCACCAGCAAAGTCCTGAGGTGCTTTCAAAGCTCTTGACTCATGAGCCCCAAGTCGTTAAGACATCTGTTCACTCTACTTCAGGTGGAATAGAGTAGGACTGCTGTATCTCAGCTTGAGAAGTTCTGGGTGCATTCAGATGGAGCTAGGGAGTATCACAGAGCTGGTGTTCAGGGATCAGTTGGTGGGCAAAGCAGTGCTAAAGTTATGTGATGACAGACCACTGTGTGGCCCTGCACAGTCAAAAATTGGATGAAACACAGAAATAGAACACAGTCCTATGTTTATATTATTTTTTGCAAGCTTCCACTTCCTTAAATATCTTGACCTCATTCTGGCAGCCACAGATCTACCTGCTGGCAGGTCAGCTTCTTTTAAGGCTGTGCTGCCGTCTCCTGGAGAGGCCTGGGCATAGCAAGAGCCTTCTCCTTAGGGCCTCTTTCAGGTGCCACTCCTGAGGCCAAGGCTTGATTGTGCTAGTCCCAACTCGCCCAGGCCTGATCACATGTTTCCTGATGCTACTGCTTCCCTGATTTTACAGGGAAGACGTCTAAAACCAGCTCTGAAAAACAGGTGTGGTTTTTGTTTGTTTGAAGTCCAATAATTACGTTATTTCTACTGATCTTCATTATCTGCTGTCAGACCTCAGGCAGAACTGGTAACACACTCTGGTAACTTCAGCCTTGAACCGATCCACACTTCCCAGAGACCTGCTCACTCTGGATTTTGTTACGTGGGAATGAACACTGCCTGGAGATGAAGAGGGATTTAGGGCAGACACTGAGTACATGTTGGTCCCAAGGGCAGTGACCCCACGAACAGAGGCCAGTCTGAGCACAGAGCCAGGTTCTCGCTCTGCTCTTCTCCAGCCCTGGGTTTACTGTTAGAAAACAAAGTTAGGTGGCATCAGTGTTGTCACTCTCAAGTTCTCCTCTCTATTTTATTTATTTGTCCTTAGCATTTATCACCATCTGACATACTACTTATTTTTAATTTTGCTTCCTTTCACTATATGGAAGCTCCACAGAGGCAGATATTTGTCTCCTGTGTTCACGTGGTATCTTCAGCCTTTAGAAGAAGGCCTGGCACTTACAGGGTGCTAGGTATATGCGGAGTGAGTGAAGTCCTGGCTTTATGGCCTTATATGGTTATGGCTCCATACTCCTCATCCGCAGTGTCTGACGGATCTGATGTTTCTGCCTCAGCCTTCCGGGAGGACTTTATGCAGAGATGAGGGCCCAGGCTGGTGACCAGAGAAGGGGACGCTGATGCGAACAGGTGCTGACTTTGCTCCTGGCCTGGCCCGTCTCATGTAATCACAAGAGGAGTCGCTTCAAGAGACCTCGGGGTAGGAACTGGGAAACCTAGGGTTTAGTACAAACTTGAGAGGCACCGAAAAACCTGAGTGAAGCACAGTAATAAATGTAACTTGTGTCTGCGTACAACCACTTAATAATTACTATTACAGCCATAACCTAAGGAATACGCGCCCTGTCCCAGGGCTTTATTGCAAACTGCATCACACACCGTACGGCTGTTTTTCACGAGATCTCTATTTGGCACGAGGTTCGGAGTCCCACTGTTGACTGACCGTGAGCTCGACTGGGGCCCGGCGGAGGCGGCACACGAACTGCCTTTACAGCCCGCTGCCGCGGGTACGTGCCGGAGACCAGGGGCGCAGATACCGTAGGCCCACGCCTCCAACCGTACCCCGTTCCGCGCCTTCCGTCGGCGGGTTCCTCTCGCCGCGACAACTTCCGGAGCGCTGGCTGTCGGGGCTTGTAGTTCGAAATCCCCCGCCTGCCCTGGAGGACGACCGCTCCAGGAGCGGAACTACACCTCCCAGAATGCCCCGCGCCACCGGGCGCAGAGCGTCCGGCCTGCGCACGCAGGGAAGATGTCGGCCGCTGTGTTCCTGAGCCCGCGGCGGCCGCCCTGCAACTGAGGAGACCACGGGCGGTCTTACACCGGCCAGGGGTCCCAGTCCTTGTCGTGGGGCTGGGTGCCCAGGGACTCAGTGCTGCACAAATCCGAGAACGCCAGGCTGTCCCGTGCCAGAGCAGCCTGTGAGGACCACCCCTACCTCCTCCCCAGACTGCACCGCACATCCCGCGCCCCTAGAGGGCTGCGCCCTGGCGCGCACTTATGAAGAGTGACCCCGCGACCTCCGCAGCCCCCCTGAGGGCGCTCGGGGGCGCCCTGCGGAGCAGCGAGCCCGTGCGTGCCGCCCCGGCCCCGTCGGCGGCCGCGCTTTTGCTGGAGGAGGCGGCCGACCTGCTGGTGGTGCACCTGGACTTCGGCGCGGCGCTACGCACTTGCGAACGCGCCTGGCAGGGCCTGGCGGAGGAGCCGGCGGGCGCGTACGTTCGGGGCTCGGTTCGCCTTCGGGAACAGTGGGAGGCCTCCAGACCCCAGCACTCCTGCAATCTGGTTGCTCGTGCGACCCTTATTCCTTGTTTTCCTCGCGGTGGTTTTCCGCGAGGCAGGGACTCACCTTGTGCCGGTTCTCCGAGGAGGAAACGGTCGAGATGTGAACGGGGTTTAGTGGGACCCCACAATCAATTCTTTCTCTGTGTACCAGGGTAGAATGGTCTAATGGGAAGATAGAATTGATTTGTTAAATTACTGCAGGAAGGTGATGGCGGAAGTCTTCTCCTTCCACCCCTCCCCGAAGTAGTCCCCCTCACTCCTCGGATTGGGGTTTAGAGCAGGAGTCGTGTTCTGGTCCTCTTGTAGGATTGGATCAAAGAATTGAAATCTTGGTCCGGCATTGCTCGTTGGATTAGGTCACACTAGGGAGGGCGTGGGTAGACTGGTAAAAGCTGGCCCCAGAGAAGGATGAACTGGGGACCCTTCGCTGAGTGTTTGGGGGTCGGTGAAGACTGGGTGCTGTAAAGGCTGAGGGTGTGATTCTGCTGCTGCGCTTGGTGGGAGACTGCTTCTGCCCTTTCTTCACTAAGCAAACTCTTAGGGGTGGTCCTCTTTCCACCCACATCTGTGCTGCAGCTGTTCTTTTCCCATTGGGAGTAAATGAATGCTTCCTGTTGGTTAACCCTGACTTTACCTGGATACAGAGACGTGTGCTGGTCAGCAGCTGATTGGCCTTTAGATTTATAGAAACTTACAGCTCCTGGGCAAAGGGCAATTTTCTCTTGCTAGGCCTCCTGAGACGGGTCATAATTGTGAGGCCCACTTGAATACTGGAGGTGGGAGGTGAGAGTTAATAGCTACTGACTTGGTTGCTGGTGAAGAACAGTCCCAGGCTGAAGATGGGAATGGCAGTGCAGGAGAACCACTTCTGAACTCAAATTGGCTTTTTCATTGACAGCTCCTTGGAGGTGAAATGCTCTCTGTGTATTGTGGGCATCCAGGCCCTGGCAGAAATGGATCGGTGGCGGGAAGTCCTGTCCTGGGTTCTTCAGTATTACCAGGCTCCTGAGAAGCTTCCCCCCAAAGTCCTGGAACTGTGGTAGGTCCTTAGATCCTTACTGCTTCCCCACTGAGTCAGCGCAGGAGCAAGAGGGTTTTCCCCTGGGTCTGGAAGATCCCCTGTAGAAGGGATAGGCCACCCACTCCAGTATTCTTGGGCTCCCTTGGTGGCTCAGCTGGTAAAGAATCTGCCTGCAATGTGCGAGACCTGGGTTTGATCTCTGGGTTGGGAAGATCCCCTGGAGGAAGGCATGGCAACCCACACCAGTGTTCTTGCCTGGAGAATCCTCATGGACAGAGGATTCTGGCTGCCTACAGTCCATGGGGTCACACAGAGTCCAACATGGCTGAGCGACTAAGCACAGCACACCCCTTCAGTTCTCATATCTCCTCTTTTTCCTTCCATACCATTTCCCTTTAAATCTAATTCTTTCCCTGTCCCCCACCCCCCCTCCCCCCTGTGCCCTCCAGACTCAAACCATATGTAATAAAAGATGAGGAAGAAGGAATTTAAGAGTGGGGTAGGGAACACAGGAAGGGATGGGAGACATGAAGTGGGGTAACAGAAGTGGGGTGTGTCAGAGCCGAGAGAGCTGCTTGCTGCTCCTGAGAACTCCCGATTCTTCCCCTGTCAGGGTCCTGTAGGGAAGGACTTGAGGGCACAGAGGAGTGGCCAGGTAGGAGGAGTGTAGTGGTTATGAGAAATGAACAAACCGTGAAGCATTGACCACTCTTCTGGGATTGGATTATTTGGGGGTTGCAGCGTTCTTTTATACAGCAAAATGCAAGCGCCGGGAGCCGTGGCGGATGGCATTCGTGCTTGGCTTCAAGACCCTGACAACCAGGGCCTTCCAGAGTACAGATCCTTAGCAGAACTTCACCTGCAGCGGGTGCTGCTTCCTCTGGGCCTCCTGTCAGAGGCTGAAGAGCTGGTGGTGGGCTCTGCGGCCTTCAGCGAGGAACAGCGGCTGGACGCGCTTCAGGCCATTAGTGCAGCGAGGCAGCAGCAGACACATGGGCACTCTGGCTCTGAGGAGACGCGGACACTAAACCAGGAAGGTGGGACATCATCCTTCTGCAGCCCTCTGTGCAGAAGCTGAGGGCTTCCTCCTGGACCTGGGGTCCATCATGACCTTCCTGGGCCTTGGGAACAGTGTTTTGTATGAGTAAGTTCCAGATTGCAGGATAAGAAACCTGTTGAGGTGCTTCAAAAGCCCAGCCCCTCTGCATTTGGCTTTGGGGGCAGGTGGTGCAGATCTCAGAACCTTACTTTTGTCTCCTGAAAGTCATCTCCGTGGGCCCCTGTCGGTAGATCTGCCTCCACTGTGCTGGCCTGGATGGGATGTTGCTTCACTGTCTCCTGAAGCAGTGCCTTTCAGCTGTCTAGGGTTGTGTAGGGAATTTCTTCCTGATGCTGAGTTGAAGTTTTCCTCCTGGTAGGTTTTAACCCCCTGATCTTTGTTTTCTCTGTTCGTGACACATAGAATAGGCGTACATGGAGGACCTTCAGCCCTTAGGAGACTAATCCTGTCTCTGAGGTGGTTTCTTCATGTGCCTAAGAGCAGGGACCTGCTGAAGCAGGGTCACTTCTTTACAGCAGGTTGTAGACTCCAGGGACTCCATGTAACTTCACAAACCCTCTGCCTGTCCTGAGCCCAGGGAGGAGGTGCTCGGATGGCAAGTCCAGGGTGTCTTCAGGGCTTGGAGGTGGTGTTCATGTTTGTGCTCAGTCCAAGATGGGATTCTTCACTGTGCTTGTCGAGGTGCCCTTTGTTTTCTGCCTTTACTGATCATCAAGAATTGTTGTGTAACTGTGCATATGTCTTAGGCCAGAATATAAAGAATGCTGTGAGGCTGTTAAAGAAACACCAGAGGTACCAGGTTCCCCAACTAAGTTGACATTTCTGTTGAAGTCCTCTCCTACAGAGTTGGCGTGGTGATGCCAGAGTCCTCTTCTACAGAGCTGGTGTCTGGTGACGCCAGAGCCCTCTCCCATAGAGTTGGTGTCTGGTGACACCAGAGCCCTCTCCGGTGGAGGTGGTGTCTGGTGACGCCAGAGCCCTCTCCTGTGAAGGTGGCATGTGGTGACGTCAGAGCCCTCTCTCATAGAGCTGGTGTCTGGTGACGTCAGAGCCCTTGGGTGGAACTGGTGTCTGGTGACGTCAGAGCCCTCTCCCATAGAGCTGGTGTCTGGTGACATCAGAGCCCTCTCCTGTGGAGGTGGTGTCTGGTGACGCCAGAATCCTCTCCCGTGGAGATGGTGTCTGGTCACGTCAGAGCCGTCTCCTGTGAAGGTGGTGTCTGGTGACGTCAGAGCCCTCTCCCGTAGAGCTGGTGTCTGGTGATGCCAGAGTCCTCTTGGAGCTGGTGTTCTGATATAATCAGTGCTGAAGGAGCTCCCTTAGAACCATTTTGTAGACTGCATGAGGATACCAGTCTTGGCTTGACTTGTATGATTAGACTCAAAGCTCGGAATCGAGAAGCTGCTTCTTTACTGAAGTTCTACTCTGTCTTCCCGCCAGACGCCTCCTCCCACAAGTTCCTGTCACTACTGACGTTGCTGCGCCAGCTTTGGGACTCTGCAGTCAGCCACTTCTTTTCTCTGCCCTTCGGTAAGAGCCTGCTGGCTGCCTTGCTCCTCTGCCTCCTGGTGCTGAGGTTTGATCCAGGTGAGTGAAGATGCCTGCCTCCCCTCCCACCCTCCCGGCACAGGGCGGTTGACCAGGGCTGGGCCTGGAAGCCCTCCTGGGGGTTTTCCCTAGTCTCATCTGCAAGGAGGAGTTGGTGGGCCTGAGCTGGAGCCAGCCCAGCTCACCTTAAAGGAGAGACCAGTCCTGGAGAAAGTCCACTCTGCCTTGTCGACTCTGGACGTCAGTAGAGCCTCAGGGCTTATCTGTCTTGTTTTTGGCAGTGCTGGGTCTTTGTTGCTGCACGCAGGCTTTCTCCAGCTGTGGCAAGCAGGGGCTGTTCAGTAGTGGTGGTGCACAGGCTCAGGGGTTGCCATGCCCAGCTCTGAAGCGCTGGGGCTTCAGCAGGTGTGGCGTATGGGCTTAGCTGCCCTGCAGCCATGTGGGGTCTTCCCAGACCAGGGGTCAAAACACTAGCAGGCAGATTCTCAACCGCTGGACCACCAGGATGTTCCCTCAGAATTAAAAAAGAAAAAAGGAAACTTCATCAAAGTGTGTAAACAAGTTACTTTAAATTAAAACATAGTATATTGTAGAAATACAATTAGAATAGGAAAAATATATAATATTTTAGAAAATATGGAAAATAGAGAAAAGTATAAAGGAGAAAACAAATCACCCTTCAGCTACTGTAATCGTTAGTCTTTCTCTTGATGTAGATGCAGTTTTGCTTGTCGTTAAGTATTCTTTTTTTTTCCTTCTAGTTTTATTGAGATATAAACAATGTTCAGCACTATATAAGTTTAAGGTGTAGAGCATAATGATTTGACTTACATACATCATGAAATGATTCCCACAGTATGTACAGTGAACATTTAGCCTCTCATGCAGATAAAAAATTTTAAAAATAGAAAAAAATTTTTTCCTTGTGATGAGAAACTCTAAGACTTTCTTAACTTTTGATTGTAACGTACAGTAGTGTTAATTATATTCATGTTGTACATTACATTCCTAATACTTATTTATCTTATAACTAAAAGGACTTTTTGACAGCCTTCTTCCAGTTCCTCATCCCCCATAAGTATTCTTTAAAACATGGCTTTAGGGAATTCCCAGGTGATCTAGTTGTTAGGACCCCATGCTTTCACTACTGAAGGCCTGGGTTCGATTCCTGATCAAAGAAATAAGATTCTGTAAGCCATGAATTGTGGCCCTCCCCCCACCAAAAAAAATGGCTTCAAAACTTTACACGACTAAATAGTGTTTTCAGTAACTTCCATAATTGATTTTATAGTGCCCTGTTGTTGAACATTTCGATGATTCCTCTTCATTGGTTTGTGTTAATTAATTTTTATTATAGCATAGTTGCTTTACAATGTGGTGTTAGCTTCTAATGTACAGCAAAATGAATCAGCTGTGTGTGTGTGTGTGTGTGTGTGTGTATATATATATACCCCTTCCCTTCTGGACTTCCATCCCGTTCAGATCACTGCAGAGCACTGAGTCGAGTTCCCTGTGCTATACAGTATGTTCCCGTCAGTTTCGATTTTGTACATAGCATTGATAGTATATATATGTCAATCTTATTCTCCCAATTTCCTCCCGCCTTCCACCGTGGTATCCATACATTTGTTTCCTACGACTGTGTCTCTATTTCTGCTTTGCAAATAAGGTCATCTATACCATTTTTCTGGATTCCACAATATATGTATTAATATATAATACTTTTTTTTCTCTTTCTGAATTACTTTACTCTATGACACCCTCTCAGTTCATCCATGTCTCTACAAATTTCATTTGTCCCTTTTTCAGTTCAGTTCGGTCGCTCAGTCGTGTCCGACTCTGTGACCCCATGAACCGCAGGTCACCAGGCCTCCCTGTCCATCACCAACTCCTGAAGTCTACCCAAACCCATGTCCATCGATTCAGTGATGCCATCCAACCTTCTCATCCTCCTTTGTCCCCTTCTCCTCCTGCCCTCAATCTTGCCCAGCATCAGGGTCTTTTCAAATGAGTCAGCTCTTCGCATCAGATGGCCCAAGTATTGGAGTTTCAGCTTCAACATCAGTCCTTCCAATGAACACCCAGGACTGATCTCCTTTAAGATGGACTGGTTGGATCTCATTGCAGTCCAAGGAACTCTCAAGAGTCTTCTCCAACACCACAGTTCAAAAGCATCAATTCTTTGTCACTCAGCTTCCTAACTCTCACATCCATACATGACCACTGGAAAAACCATAGCCTTGACTAGACGGACCTTTGTTGGCAAAGTAATGTCTCTGCTTTTTAATATGCTTTCTAGATTGGTCATAACTTTCCTTCCAAGGAGTAAGTGTCTTTTAATTTCATGGCTGCAGTCACCATCTGCAGTGATTTTGGAGCCCAGAAAAATAAAGTCAGCCATTGTTTCCATTGTTTCTGCATCTATTTGCCATGAAGTGATGGGACCATATGCCATGATCTTAGTTTTCTGAATATTGAGCTTTAAGCCAACTTTTTCACTCTCCTCTTTCACTTTTATCAAGAGCCTCTTTAGTTCTTCACTTTCTGCCATAAGGGTGGAGTCATTTGCATATCTGAGGTTATTGATATTTCTCCTGGCAATCTTGATTCCAGCTTGTTCTTCCTCCAGCCCAGCATTTCTCATGTACTCTGCATATAAGTAAATAAGCTGGGTGACAATATACAGCCTTGATGTACTCTTTTCCTATTTGGAACCAGTCTGTTGTTCCGTGTCCAGTTCTAACTGTCCCTTTTTATGACTAATACCCCACTGTGTATGTGCACTGCATCTTTGTCCATTCCTTTCTTAAAGCATGTTTAAGTTGCTTCCATGTCCTGGCTGTTGTAAATAGTGCTGCTGTGAACATTGGGGTGCACGTATATTTTGAATTATGTTTATTTCTGGATACATGCCCAGTAGTGGGATTGCTGGATCATATGGTAGCTGTATTTAGTTTTTAAGGAGCCTTGATACTGTTGTCTATAGTGGCTGCACCAATTTACATTCCCATCACAGTGTGGGAGGGTTCCCTTTTCTCCACACCCTCTCCAGCATTTATTGCTTGTGGACTTGTTGATGGTGGCCATTCTGACCAGTGTGATACCTCCGAACATTTTGATGATTTCTTGCTGTTTTCTACTATGTTCTTTCCCGAGAGTGAATTACTCAGACCTTGTGAGCACTGGGCCAGAGGTTAGGAGCTCGCTCGTGAACTTTTCTGTGTGTTACTTTTGTGTGGGTTATAACCTAATCTCTTCTCATGAATTTAGACTTAGGGTTATATAACTTTCAAAACTGAAAGGAAAACTGGAAACCCTTATTTCAATCCCTTCATTTTCATTTTCTTTTTCGGTTGGGAAACCTAGGAACCAGAGAGAAGTGACTGCTCCACGGTCACACAGACATTCTGTCTGCTGCTCTTCATTTAACCCCAGAAGCTGTGTCCCCACTTCCCTTTTTCTTGTCTGGGAGCTGTTTCTGCACAGCTCAGCTTGTCCCTTTGACCCCATGGCTGACACCAAGTAGGAGATTCCTCTGAACAGCTCTGTTTGCTTGAGGAGAGAGTCGCTGGTTAGCCTTCAGGAAAGCTGAGGAGTTTGTGTTCAGTCCTGTCCACCCTTTGACCTTTTACTTTATTCCAGAGACTTAGTAAAAATTAGAAAGATTTTTGTGGTCCTTGAGAGACTTTCAGTCTCAGAACCCTGGTCTTCTGAGTGGAGATGGCAAGGGGCTGTTCCAGGAGTGCTCAGGACAGCCCGTGTAGGTTGGTGAGAGCCCAGGGCTGGGCTGCAGTTAGAACCCAGCCAGGAGGACGTGAAGAGGGTGGACTGGAATAGCTTTCTTAAAAGTAACATATTTCTTTTTAAGAAGGAAAAAAGTCAATTAAAAAATCAGTAATTCAAATAAGGAAAAACAAACCAAAGCAGCCAGCTCAGCTCTCCTTCGACAGAGGCTGATTTTAATTTTATTGTTAATACAATTAACTTAGGATAAAAAGAGGTAGTATTGTGGCTTGGCTTCAAACTTAAAAGGTACAAAAAGGAATGTAGTGAAAAGTCTCTTCCCAAATTCATCTCCACAGAGGCAGCCACCATTACCAATTTTTTTATATTAAAAAGTTAGATTAAAACATAAAAAAAATAATAAATTGGGGTCTTTTTCTCAGCAAACTTAAGTTTTCTCTCGTCCACGTAAAGAAAATACAACCTGAGATTATATTCTGGAGAAAGAGAAATTCTCTCCTGTTGGGAGGGAAGGAGGGGCACTGGCCTGGTCATTCCGGGGGTGGGAGAGTTCTGGGGGAGGCGTGGCTGAGTGGGCGTGGGAGGGGTAGGGTGGGCACTGACTGGCCTCTCCCCGCAGCGTCTCCCCGCTCCCTGCCCTTCCTCTACAAGCTGACTCAGATCTTCCAGCGGATCCGCGAGGCCGTGTCTCCTCCTCTCTGCCAGCTTCCCATCCAGCACTGAGTGTCTTCCCTGCTCACCTCAAGCCCCTGCGCCCCAAGACTGCCGGAGAAGCAGAGTCACCCGTCCTCGCAGCCTGTTTCCTGCAGCTGGATGGGCCCTGCCAGTGCGGCCAGCCTAATTCCAGGGGAAGCTGACCTGGCTGGGGCACTGTGTCGGGCTGCCTCAACGCCCTCCCCTTTGCACCCAGCTCTGGCGGGCCTGGCAGGTATTGTGGAGACAAGCCGCACAGCCCTGCAGAGGCCCCTGCAGAGGAAGGGTTGCGGGAGGGGAGTGCTTCCTCCTTGACATTCCTTGGCACTATCCGTCTTACTGCAGAGGCAGGGGTTGATCTTTCAGGCGTGCAGTTGGAAATTCAGAGCAAGGTCCTGGCTGGGAGACCTTGGCCTTTCACTTGCATGGAACACTTAGCTCTGAAGGTGGCCCACGGGACAGGCTCCGTAGTCTGGTCTGGTTTCTCACTCCCCCCTCCCCACCCAGCCCTGAGCTGTGCCGTGGGCTGCTCTCTGCTCACACCGAGCGTGGCTTCCTGAGCCTCAGGTCCTCTTCCGACTGGATAAGGGGATCTGGGCAGCTGCCTCCTGGACTAAGCTCAGTGTTCCAGCCGTCAGTGGCCAAGTGGAGCTGGGTGAGGAGGTGTCTCTGCCCTCTCCCTCCTGTTGCCCCTTCCCTCCTGCTGCCCTCCCACCCCCCTCAAGGTGATGGTTTGTGCTGCCTTGCTGGTTTCTTTCACCAGTGTCTGCTGCATCCTTGGTACACACTGTGGCTGGCTCCCCCCTTTCTGTGTCCTGTTCTAGTTATGTTCTACTGTTCCTATAATGCACAAGTGTTTCTGCTCCTGTGTCCTTGGAAAGTAGGTCAGCCTCAAAAGCTGATGCACTGAAAATGGAGCGGATAATCAGGGGAGCTGGAAGGATGTGTGGAGGGGGTTGGGCAGAGAGGAGGCTTGGGAGGCAGTGAGCGATGTTCTTCCTTGTCTAGGGGTGGGAGACACTAGGGCCCTGGCGGTTGTGCAGCTGGAATGTTTCAGCGCTTTCTGTCTGGACACAAGAATCCTCCCTGTCTCTGTGCGGCGACATGGAGGCCGTTGCTGTGGGGCTGGGGGTGGAGGCGCCTAGCAGGCCAGGAAAACCAGGGGCTTATCAGCTTTGCATTAAGACCCTCAGGAGCTCCAGGTCAGCGGCATCTCTTTCATAGAATGATTGAGTGAGTAGACTTCAGGCCCTGGGAGGTTAAGTCCCAGGGTGTCGTAAAACATGCTGAGAGAAAGGGAGCTGATCAGGCTTCGGGATTTCTCCTTTACAGTGATTTTTAAAACCTGGTCCTGTTCATGCCCCAGATAGAACTCTTTAGTGGTTTCCCCTGGCCTGAAGGTAAAACCCCGGTTTTTACGGAGTTTAGGGACCTTGGGCACTGGTTTTGGCCAACACCCCCACCTCACGTGGGGCCTAATCCAGCCGCTGGCAGTTAGGGTTTTCTGAGCACTGCACCCCTCACACCTCTTAGCTTCTGCACCTGCTGATCCTCTGGAGGCCCAGCTCCCCTCTCTCCTGGTGGGTCACCTCTGGGAATCCTCTCCCGGCCCCTGTTTCATATACTTTCTGCAGTGGTGGCCCCATGCCTTGTGGCTGTGGGATTCTGGGGCCTCTTTGAAGCTGGGGAGTGTGACTGCAATGTTGAAATGGGGGGAGGGTCCTGCCCTCCCACTAAATGGTGTGTGGCTGTTGGGAAGTGATTTAACCTCATCTGTAAGGTGATTCTCCTCTCACAGGGACTTTTGTGTGAGTTGGGTGAGTAAATGAGCCTCCAGGGCAGTGTTAGCAGGTTCCTGCTCCAGGTGGAATGGAGCACCATGAGGGATGACTGTGTTGTCACTGCCCAACTGAGGGCCGGGGATTAGAAGGTGTTTAGAGGCATGCCAGAGAATGAGTGGATGTAACTGACGTGACAGGCAGCCTCTGCTTTGGTGTGGGAGAGGGGGGTTGTGTTGTGGAAACCCTGACTTCTGTTCCCCCGAAGCCTGTGTGACCCTGCTCCAGGCCTCGGGCATCTTGGCTTCCCGTTCACCTGGTGCTCTGTAGTCTTGTCTGGCATCCAGCCCCAGCTGCCCTCCTCGTCCGGCAAGGACCCGCTGCTCGAGTGGCTGGACCTCATCTAGGGGTGCAGCTGCAGCTCCAGCCGGCCTCAGCGCGGAGCCTGATGACATCTGAGGCGAAGGGCGGGATACCTGGTCACTCCAGCACCGGTGCTGGCCAGGGAGGTCCCCACTAGCTTCCGCTGCCTTCCAACCCTTGTGTGGCTGGTCCAAATCAAGGTGTTGTGTAAATATAAAATATAATACTGATTACAAACACATAAAGCTAAAAAGAGTGGAGCCTCAGTAATTTTTATATTGATCGCGTATTGCAAATCAAGATGTTGTGTAAATATAAAATATAACACTGATTGCACACACATAGAGTTAAAAAGAGTGGAGACTCAGTAATTTTTATATTGATGGCATATTGAAATGATAACCTGCATATATTGGACTAAATAAAATCTTTTACTACCTGTTTTTTCCACTTTTTTGTGGGCCTCCCAGAATGTTTCAGCTTGCATGGAGAGCTCACGTCGTGTTTCTGTGGGCCTGCGCTTGAAGCACCCAGTACACAACGGGTCCAGAGAAGTGGCCGTGAATGGGGCCTGCCAACCTGTGATCTGGAAAGACCCCACCCCCCACCCCGTTACAGCCCCTTTGTGTGTTAAGGAAATGGAGACCCCAGGGTGAAGTGACCCCCCAGGCTACAGCTTGCATAAGACAGGAGTCCCCTCCACTATCCACGTCCCTCACTGCTCACAGTGCCCCCATGTACCCAAAAACCAGCCGCTGGAGCTTGCCATCCTTGCATGTGCCACCTTGGCCCCAGCGAGTGGGTTGCTTCCACTGGTGTGAGATATGACTGGATTCTCGGGGCTGAGGGGCAGCTGGGGAGATGGTGAGGTAAGGAGGGGCTAGGCTAGATGGGCTATCATGGGTGGGGTGGGCAATGGAGGGGAGGACACAGGGTGCTTCCTCTAGAAAGGGGCTTGAGGGCATTTCATGGCTTTGTGCAGGTGACACCGTGGATGTGTTTGCTCACGTGTATTCATGCTCTTAAAAATGATGTTTTATGTGTCTAGTACAAAATTGAGAAGGCACAGCAGGAGTTTGTGAAAGAGTGTCTTTCCCTCCTGCTCCGCACCTCTTGCCCCCTGCCCACCGCCGTTGCCACCCAGATCTTTCCACGTAAACTCTGATGCTAAGCTCCTCTTTCTCTCCACAGATGACGGCGTGCTGCACACGTGCGCCGTGCTTTTAAACCCAGTCTTGGGTGTTTGTCCGCGTCCGCTCTCACAGGGCTGCCTCACTCTGTCCAGCTGCCCCGCGCTCCCTTCTGGGACTGGCTCGCGGTGTAAGCCCCACACCTTTCCCTGTAAAGCCGTGGAGCCGCTCCACCCTCTTCTGAGCCCAAGTCTGAGGTGAACAGATGGGCGTTACACCTCTGCTGCCATTTCCTGGCAAACATGGCCCTCTGCCCAGCCTGCCTGGTACCTTCCCAGCCACAGGGAAGCTGAGAGCCAGCCTTTCATACTCCTGGACGCTCCACTTCTAAGTCTGGGGTGGCACTGCCTCTGCCAACTGCTAAGCCAGCTGCGGGAAACGGGAGAGTGAGAGGCCTGATGTGAGCTGCAGAAAGGGCATCTGTCCACCTCTCCCCTCTTCTCCCTTGCTGGAGCGGCCCTGGGCTGGTGGGCCGCTGTCTCTGCACCTGGGGGGGCTGCGGGTTGTCATTCTCTCATGTGCTCTGCACACTCCCCTAGGCTTCCCTCACCACCTGCCAGCCCAGTGCTTTGGAACTTGACATAGCAATTGTTAACGAGAAGAATGCTTCTCTGCCTCTGGAAATCTTGGTTCTTGGATGACAAGGAGCTAAATTAAGAGCAACGGACATGGTACTTGCTTTGGGAGCATGTATGCCAGAATTGGAATGATACAGAGAAGATTAGCATGGCCTCTGTGCAAGGATGACACGAATTCGTGAAGCATTCCATATTTTTAAAAATAGATAGTAAGGGCCTACCGTACAGTACAGGGAAATCTCAGTACTCTGTAATGGCCTATATAGGAAAGAATCTTAAAAACTGGCTGTATGTATAACTAATTCACTTTGTTGTATACCTGAAACTGACACAACATGGTAAATCAACTGTACTCGAAAAAAGCCGTGGACACGGGGCCCTGCTGAAACCCCTATGTGTGCCATTCCTCCGGGGTTAAAGTGGGATCCAGGTATTTTTGGCCAGCCTCCAGGTCTCTTGATAAAAACAGATTTAAAAAAAAATTTTTTTTAAGCAATGAATATATATTTTAGAAATTTAAAAATTTGTATAAAAGCAAATTTGGGACTTGTGATCCCATGCCTCTGCGATAACCACTGTAATGTTGGTGGGTTTTCTTTCCATTTTATCTTTCAAACATCCAGCCCTCTTGGTAACCCCAGTACTTGAGAACCTGTGAAAAAACAGCCGCAGACGGGGTTTGTTCAGGAGAGTATTAGCTGGCTGAATTGCAGGCTGGCAGAAGGGCCTTGCAGCCAGTGGGCAGGTGGGTAGGCTGGCAGAAGGGCTGAGGTAGAAGAGGGGTGGGGGCCACTAGAGCTGCTGTCCCTCCCCAGGTGACCTGGCAGGGCTGGGTTTTATGACCCACTTCTAATTTTAATACTGACCCCAGCTCTCATTTCACACTGTTGCTCAGCTCCTCTTTTTCAAGCACCCTGAAACTTTTCACATACCCTTGTCACCTTTTCTACCATCTGAGATGGGGACTAACAAGCATCTGGTAATATTTGGAGCCTAGGTTGAAAAACCAAAGGATTTTTGCAGAAATCCTTTAGAGAAAAGGATTTCTTTTCTTTTCTTTTAGAGAAAAGTCACGTTAACAGTAGCATCAACATTGATTGATGGCAGAAGAGCTAAGCAATCTCTCCCTATAAAGAGATGCTGGCTCTGCTGCTGAATTGCTCTGTAACTTTGCAAAAGTCATTTAATCTTTAGGTCTCTTATTTTCTTTTTTTTTTTAATGCCAAAAACACTTTGTTTTGGGGTATAGCTGATTAACAATGTTGTGAAACTTTCAGGTGAAGAGTGAACGGATTCAGCCATACATCTATATGTATCTGTTCTCCCCCAAACCCCCTCCCATCCAGGCTGGCATGTAACATTGAGCAGAGTTCCATGTGCTATACAGTAAGCCTTTGTTGGTTATCCATCTTAAATACAGCAGTGTGTACATAACCTCCCCAAAGTTCTGAACTGTCCCTTCTCGCTCAGCAAACATAAGTTTGTTTTCTAAGTCTCTTCCTGTTTTGTAAGTAAGTTTATTTGTGTCATTGCTTCTTAGGTTCCACATATAAGGGGTATAGGTCTCTATTTTCTTACCTTAAAGATGGGGATGAAATTTTTCTGCCTTATTTTCTTTATGATACTTTTGTGTCATGTGAGCAAAAGTCTACTAAAAAGACTGGAAGGTGTTAAGTGATACAGGGAGTGGAGTATTTAAAATGCTACAAGATATTATTGTAAAATAGGATGGTTAAGTCTTTTTGATAAAATCCATTAAAAATATTTGAAATAGGTGTGTGAAATAGGTTAAATAGACACGGACTTTGCATATAGGCACAATTTAGTTGGATTAAGTAAGATTAATGATCCTTGAGGGATCTGTGTTTTGTTACCTAGGCAAATTCAAGTTAACACTTTCTCAGGGCTGTTTAATCAGGACTAGGTCAAGAAATGACATGCTGTTTGCCTCACCTTTTTCTTCTGGCTTGTGGAAGGTGGGGCTGGAGAGTGGGGAGGTGATGGGGTTTGTGAGAGAGTATTTGGTAAAGACAAAGGCAGGGGATTGTGGCCTGAGAGGGAGTTACTGTCTCAGACAGGGAAGCAGGTGTGGATGGACACTCAGATTTTAATGATGGATCTGTGAGGTGGTACTGCTGGGCTCAAGACTCCAATGTCCACTTGACCAGAGTGAAAAACAGCTTGGTCCTGGGGTGGCTGTCCTGCCACACGGGGTGACCAGACTTGTATTTTCAGGGTTGTGAACAGGGCACATTACTTATTATATTTGTAAGACATGAAATGTGTTCATTCAAACAACCTTACTAAAAAAAAAATGCATAAAAGAAACTATCTCTCCCTTCTCTTCCATACACGTGCATATTGTTTGGCATAAACATGTATCTAGTACTTTCTATGTTCTTAATATTATCTATTCAGTTTTCAGCATTACTGCTTCTCTACTATACACATTTGTTTCTTGGGGTTGCTGAAGCAAATGACCAGAAACCGGGGGGCTTCAGACCATAGAAGCTTACTCTTCTGGAGGCTGGAAGTCCACAGTCAAGGCATCTCTCTCCAGAGGCCCCAGGGAGGATCCTCCTGTGTCCTCTAGCCTCTGGGGGTTCCTGGTGGCCCTGGGCTTGTGGCCGAATGTTTCCCACCCTTGCCTTACCGCATTCTGTGTTTCTATGTCTTATCCTTTTCTGTCTCGTTTAGTGTTGCTGGATTTAGGAAGCACCCTAATCCAGGTGCTCTCATCTTGAGATCTTAATCACACCTGCAAAGACCCTTATTCTAAATGAGGTGACGGTCAAGGTTCCAAGTTCTCCATCTTAGCCACATAATCCTTCCTACTGGTGTGCTGGGCCTTCCGGTTCTTTCTGACTTTTTGCTAGTGTAAACAGCTCTGAGCAGACTGTATGTGCAAAGGCCATGAAACAACATGGTTATTTTTCCTGGGATAGTTTTCTAAAGGGGATTTATGACGTCAATGGTGAGAGCTGTCTTCCAGCTCTTTTAACACACCGCCAGGGTATGGTCAAGAAAGCCTGGATCTCTGTGATACCCATAGCATTCTGTGAAATTTCTGGAAAACAAGAGAACCCAGCACTCCTTCTGAAAGTGAAGAGTCCGCTGTACGCAGAACACCAAGGCCTGAGGGGAGATACTGACCTGACTGCCGTGTCTTTCCTGTGGTGCTGCTCGTTTGGTGCTTTTGATGGGGCTGGCAGGTGGTCACGGATCAGTAAGGAGCCTCCGGGGTGGGTGAGGGCAGGGCTCCACTGGCCTCTGACCAGCTTGCCCCTGTTTGTGAAGGAGGCGAGTTTTTCTTCATTCCCCGAGCTCAGTGTTCTCTGCACATCACCTGTCAGTCCTGGACCCCCAGCTCTAAGTTGCTCACTGCCTCCTGTGCCCTCCATCTCATTTTCCGGTGACTGGCAGGTGAGGGCCTAAAGGGCTGCCCCGACCCCCGGCTCCCACCCAGGAAGCTGAGCTTAGCCAGGATCAAAGGCCACACCATGGGAGTGGATGCGTTGAAAGCTCCCATTTCTGATGTCAGCCAGCTGGCAGGCAGGGAACAGGGGAGGAATCAGAACCGTCAGGAAAATGTTGCTGTCCCCTGCTTAAAACAAGGCCACCCAGACCCTCCTCCTCAGTGGGTTTAGGAGGGGACACGCCTGGGAGCAGGGCTGCCCGGGCTGTGTGGCTCCACCTTTGTGCAGCGGTCAGCCCTCAGAGGGGCACCAGTGCACCTGTGATTCTGTGGCCATCAGCGCCCCCTCCCTTTCAGCACCTGCAGGGCTGGGACACAAGCAGGGAGCCCAGCATTCAGATACAAGTGGTCTTAAGGCAGGCAATCACCCATTACCAGAGTTAAATCCATGTGGCAAGTGCCTAAATCTAGATAATCCTATTATAAAATACAATTTCCTCCTGGAATCTCAAGCTTCCCATAGCAGTGTGGGTGCCTGGAAGTACCAGGTCTTCCTCCAGGCTCTGGTCTCCCCTTGGCAAAGTAAACTCCATCTTTTCTTTTTTACTATTTATTTATTCTTGGCTGCATCGGGTCCTAGTTGCCACACGTGGGATCTTTCATTGTGGCACGCAGACTTCTCTCTAGTTGTGGCGTACTGGGTTTAGTTCTAAGCCCCATGGCATGTGGGATCTTAGTTCCCCAACCATGGATCAAACCGACGTTCTCTGCATTGGAAGGGAGATTCTTAATCACTGGACCATCAGGGAAGTCCCTACTTCACTCTTTTTACAAGAATGAAATGCTGGATCCTAGTTGGGTCCAAATCACCTGCTTTTGAGGCTGATACTTTAAAATCTCTACAAGGAGCAGGGAAATTCCGAGATGTCAAGAGCAATGTCGCTCTTCTCTGTAAACAGCCTGTATCTGACTTCAGTTTTTCCACCTGCAAAAAGGGGGACTGTACTAGGGTTCTCCAGAGAAATAGAACCCATAGGAGACACACATACACACAGAGAGAGAAAATAGGGAGCTGGCTTGCATGATCATGGAGTCTAAGACATAGTCTTCAAGTTGGATCCAGGAGAGCTGCTGGTGTGAGCTCTAGATCAAGGCAGGAGAAGTCCAGGGTCTCAACTCAGCAGCCAGGCGGGCAGCTGGTGCCTCTTACTCAGCCCTTTCATTTAATTCAAATCTTCAGCTTATTGGATGAGGCCCACCTCATCCAATGGGGAGGACAGTCTGCTGTACTCAGTCTACCGATTCAGATGTTCATCTCATTCAGAAACACCTTCACAAACACACCCAGAATAATGTCTGACTGAATGTCTGGGTGTCCCATGGCTCAGTCAAGTTGACACATAAACTTAACCATCACAGGGACTGAAAACACATCTCCTGCTTTCATTCCAAACTTCTACTCAGGGAGAAAGACAGAATGGAGGTGGGATCCAGGTTGCCCCAGACCAAATAATTGTGAAAGAGGACTTAAAAACCAAAGAGAAGTCGATGTTTTTTACTTTTTTTTTTTTTTGATGTTTTTTACTTTTAAGACTCATGTTACTATGTTAGTCTTCGAAGATGCCACACAGTAGGTGGCTTAAACAACAGAAATTAATTATCTCACAGTTTTGGAGACTGGAAGTCCAAACTCATAGTCCATTTCTGGTGAGGCCTTTGCTCCTGGCTTGGCAATGGCCACCTTCTTGGACGGCCTCTCTCTGTGCATACACTCCTGGTGTCTCTTCCTCTTATAAAGACATGAATCCTACTGGATCAGGGCACCACTCTTATGATTTCATTTAACCTTAATTACCTCTCTAAAGGCCCCAAGGACCCATCTCCAAATAGAGTCACATTGACGGTTAAGCCTTCAACAAATCAATTGTGAGGGAGAGGGGATACAGTTCAGTGTATGCCAGCTACCCTTCTTTTTATCTCCGTGGAACCAAAAGATGCCATGTTCAGCATTTACAGCGTAGACATAGCTCCTGCCAACCCTTAACCTCATAAAGGTGAAAGATGATAAGGGTCAAGGAATCATCATGATGAAGGCTGCTGAATGCCATCATAATCACCAGTATTGTCATTATCATTTTTACCCCCAAGACATTAAGAACCTGTTGAGAACATATTTGGTAATTTCAAAGAGAACTCAGAAAATCAATTTACTCAGCAATGTTTATTGTGCATCTTGGATGCACTTGACTAGCTACTTTTGAGAGAGAAAGCACCAAGATGAATAACACCCCAGGCGTTCCATCCAGTTTTGTAGAAATAAACACGTGCACATATGCACATACCAAGAATCCAAAGTAGGGACTTCCCTGGTGGTCCAGTGGCTAAAACACTATGCTATCAGTGCAAGGGGGCCCAGGTTTGATCCCTAGTCAAGGAACTAGATCCCACATGCTGTAATGAAGACCCAAATAAATAAATATTTAAAAGAAAAAAGATTCCAAAGTGAAGAGTGGTAAATGTCATGGAAGTGATAAAGTGATCAGTGTATGCTATGGGAGTTTCAAAGAGAAATAAATACATAGTTAATGATAGTTATCATCCCTTATTGAGCACATACCATGTGCTTGGCAGTTAGTATGATTCTCAATTTTTAGGATCTATATATATATAGATAATTCAATTCATAATTTATTAAGCACTGTATGTATCAGTGTGTAAAGCATTGTGTCTGAGATGCTCTAAAATACAAAGATGATTAAGACATGTGCCCCAGAGGACTTCCCTGGTGGTCCAGTGGCTAACACTCCGAGCTCGCAATCCTCAGGGCCCAGGTTTGATCCCCAGTCAGGGAACTAGATCCACATGTCTCAACTAAGAAAGACCCAGTCCAGCCAAATAAATAAATATTCAATAAGACACATGTCCCATCCTCTGTCCTCTAGAAACTCACCGTACAGGTCGGACAACATAGGAATGGATGCTCAGCAGAACAAATAGCTACAAAATAGTGTTCTCACTGTCCACCAGCTGGAGATAGACCATCAGGAAGGGAAGGTGGATCTGTGCACTGGGACACTTGGCGAGTCATCACGTCCTGCCAGAGCAGCTCTGGGTGGTGGCACCTTGCAGAAAAGCTGTGGATTTGCCTGGAGTGACTCGGGGTTTGGTAGGCAGGGCCTAAAGAGAGCAGGAGAAGAGACAGGAGTGTCTTACTGTCTCAGCTCAGTTTGGACTCTGGTGGGAAGTTTGCAATGCTTACAGCTAAACTGGGGAGGGGAAGGGGGGGAAGCGAGGGAAGTGTAATCAATTGCATGGCCAAAATCTGAAGCATGAGAGGGCCAGACCCATTGTCCCCACTGCACCACCCCCAACCCAGTGGAGTTGGGAAAGGCCCTTAGCCCTTACACATCACTTGCAGCCCCCAAGAGAAGGTCTTATTCCTGAGCCAAGAGGCAGCCGAAATCCTGAGGTTGTTCTCCACATCCTGGGCTTTAAAGTAGGAAGAGGGAGAGATGATAAATGGATGGAGAAAGAGACTTGAAAATAATGGTGGAGGGGTGATGTCCAGGAACAGAGGAGTAGAAGCGGGAACAAAGGACGCACTAAGTACCTCCTGGGCCGGGGTGGGGTGGGGAGGGGTTGGTTCTCATCTTTATCTCAGTGAATCCCCCAACAGCCAGGCCAGCCTGGGGGCACGTGCAAGGGCTCCAGAGCCGAGGTGATGAGCAGCCCCAGAGCTGGGCTTGGAGCCTGTCCCTCCCACCGAGAGCCCTGCCCCCACCCTGCCGCCCCTCCGGGTTGGGGATGTCGGCGCGAACCGAACTCTAACCAGCTGCCTTTCCTGCCGCAGGAAGAGGATCAAAGTTTGGGAGCCTGAACGCTTATTCAAACAGCACTTTGCATTTCCTTCCTGGGCGGCTGGGGTCACAAAGTGTGATCGTGCAGAGCATAGTGCAGGAACCGGTCCCCCACCCCATCCCCGCGTGCTGCTCCCCGGGCAGAGACGGAGCCGTGGGCGGGCGCGTGGGGCGGAGCGATTGTGACCTGTCCGGTCCCTCCCTCCCGGCTCTGTGATGCTGCAGGGCAGCTGCTGGCCCAGCATGTCTGTCCCCGGCCCCCTCCCTCCCAGTGTCACAACAGCGGAGGCGGCTGTATCTGGAGCAGTTGGGGTGGGCAGGCCCAGCCGGGAGCAAACGGGCTACTGGAGCGGCCGCGATGGTGAGCCTGCGGGGCCGGGGCGCGGGGGGCGCGGGGGAGCGGGGTGGGCGGGGATGGGGAGGAACGACAGTGGGGGCGCCCACCCCAGAGACGCTCTCCTCCGTGGCTGACAGCTATCGCTTTGGATGCCCGGAGCTCGAAGTCTCCTAGGGATGCCAGTTCAAGGTCGAGGGGTTCATACCCTCGCGCGGGGGGGGGGGGGGACACCCACCTGGTGCCGGTGGCCTTTTCCTAGAGAGAAAGTGGAGACTGAGGCGAGTTGCGCCTCAAGGGAGATTTGTGCACGCAGGTGAGGGGAAGGGGGCCAGGAGCCGCCGGCGCAGAAGAGGTTAGGTTCCGAGACATCACCGTGGGGCAACTCAGGGACCTGAGTGGGGGAAACGGGCCGGCGGGGTGGGGGAGCAGGCAGGCAGTCCGGGGATTCCCGACTCGGGGGTGGGGGCTGGGCCGGGCACTGGGTCAGGTCCCACCAACCAAGTGTGGCAGAGCCCCAAAGGTCAGGGGACGTAGGGCCACACACCCGACGCTGGGGGCTTCCTTCTCCTTTCCCACCCCGGGCCATCTGGCTTGGGTCTGGGACACTTCCACCTCCACCTCAGCTTCCCAGGCCCTGGCACCTGCTTTCAGCTCCCCAGTTTTTCAAGCGGGTCAAAGCCAGAGAACTTGGGCACACAGGGTTTCAGACCCTGGCCGCGGTGCCCGCCCCCTCTGTCTGTCTCCCTCTCCTCTGGGACGGGGGATCTTACTTGCTGGAGAGGTGCTCTCCCAGCGCCGCAGTCCCACCATCTGGAGGCCCTCCCCTCGCCCCCTGAGCCTTGGGGTGGGTAAAATTTGCTGCCAGTCCACTTCACCCCAACGTCGTCTCAAAACACAGAGAACCCAGAAAGCTGGGGACTGGAGGCCCCCCTGTCTGGGGCTCAGGGAGGGTGGCAAGACTGGGTGGGGGAGGGGGCAGTGTCAGCTTGACTGGCAGGCCAAGGTCAGGCTGTCCTGGCACTCTTCCTCCCGTGACAGTGGCCAGTAGGACAGGTGAGAACCTCCCTCCTCCTGATTCTGGAAAGTGCCCAGGGCCCCTGGCTCTGGCCCCAGCTCTGCCGATTCTAGCTCCAGGCCTGCTCCCCAGAGCAGGCTCCTAGGGAATATTGGGATAGTGGCCAGAGGAGTCCACGCCTGCCTGTGGCCAGGGGTCACAGAGGGAGCCCAAAGCCAAGAGTTTCTGGAGTTTTTGGCTCCTGGCTTTGCAGCTAGCCGTGTGATTTCAAGTCACTTAACCTCTCTGAAGTAGTTTTTCTCATCTCCAAAATGAAGAGGTGTTATGATTCAAATTTTCAAAGGTCCACCTAGCTTTACTATTTTAACCTTTTCATTGCAGAGAAATCCAAGCATATACAAAATGAGAGCGTTATAATGAACCCCTATGTATGCCTCAATCAGTTTCAACAATTATCTACTTAATCTTACTTCATTCGCTCCCCCTCCTCTCCCTCCCTGTTATTCTGAACCACATCCCAGGCAGCTTACTCAAGATCTGATATTTAATATTTATAATATCCAGCACATAGCTAGTGCTGTGTAATTTTCAGAGTGCTGCCTCTTACATGTTCTAATTCTGACCTCAGAGCCGCAGTGAGTTTTAGAGGGGATCCCAGGACCCAAATCCAGCTCTCCGAACAAACTTCAATGTGCACTCAATAGGCAGGTTTCTGAAAATAGCTGGTAAATCAAAAAAACGTAAAAGCCTTGTTTTAAATGTGCCAAAGAATCTGAAAGATATTTAACTGAAAATCTATGGCTGAATATTTTGGAAAGAGACTCTTTGTTTTGAAACACTGAATTTTATATAACATGTTCTATTTGGGATATTTATATACATGGGCAGCACTGTCTTGATGGGAAGATGTTTTTTTGGTTGACTATTTCACACTCACAGAACCTCTTTTTTTTGGAGTGTAATTGCTTGTCAATGTTGTGTTAGTCTCTGCTGTACAACAACATGAATCAGCTATATGTATACATATATCTCCTCCCTTGTGAGCCTCCCTCCCACCCTCTAGGTCATCACAGAGCTGAGCTCCCTGTGTGATGCAGCTGCCTCCCACCAGCTATCCGCTTTACACATGGTAGTGCACATATGTCAGTGCTGCTCTCAATTTGTCCCATCCTCCCCCCACCCCCATGCCCACATGTGTGTTCTCTGTGTCTGCATCTCTATCCTTACCCTGCAAATAGGTTCTTCTGTACCATTTTTCTAGATTCCATATGTATGCATTAATATACAATATTTGTTTTTCTGACTTATTTCACTCTATGACAGACTCTAGGTTCATCCACATCACTACAAATGACCCAGTTTCAGAATCTCTTTTTAAAATTCCCTTGACTTTTTCCTAAAACCCTAGGATGACACACCCACATATCCGGCCCCAAGGTCCCACCCGTGCAGAAAGGACTTTCCTTCCCCAGTGTCTGGACTCCCCTCTGGAGGGCTGGGAAGGCTGCCCATGTCAAGGATGGGCTCGGCATTTCTTAGGTTCTAAGTGAGGATTTTATAACTAACCCTGTAACTGAGCGTCCCAGTCTGCTCCCAGGGTCCCGCTGGCAAGCAGTTCTCCTGGGAGCCGAGGCTGTGACACCTGTCTCGGCGTCAGTGACTCGGGCCTCAGAGAAAGTGTCTGTGGCTCACAGAGGATGAGGGCACAGCCTGCCACTGCTCTCCTCCTGGGTTAGCAGCATGCCTGTGCGTTCTGGGGGGGAACTGACATCAGATGGCAACGAAGAGCCTGTCTTCCTGCAGAGCTGGGAGTCTAGAGGGCAGTGTTCTGGGGGTGAGATGGACACTGCTTCTGCGTCTGCAGACCTCTGCAGAACCCCTTGTGCAGGTGGTGTGGCTGAGCGCCGCAGAGCCCAGGCACATCTTCCAACTCAGCACCTCCGGGGTCTGCAGCCACTGCACTGTTCTCCCTTCCCATCACTAAGGAAGGGTCCCCTGAGGTCCCTGGGCACATCCTCTGGGCAGCAGTGGAGCCCCCAGCCCCCAGGCAGTGTGTCCATAGGAAGCATCTAGGCTTTGGTTGGGCCCACGCAGAGCCCAAGGGTGATGCTCTGTCCTCTCCGAGGGGCGTCTCAGTGACCTTAAAAGGAAGAGGGAAAGTTAAAATAATTTTTGAGGAGGAAAGAGCTCACGCGTACAGGGCTAGTGATGGGGTGGGTGGGAGGACATGGCATCCTGGGATGGAGTGGACCACTGCTCCTTCCCTTTGGCCACCAGGGACTGACAGTGCTCTCCGTGGTCATTGAGGCCTACGTCCCCTGCTGGTGTTTTCCTGTTAGAATTTCTCTGTGATGAGCTGCGTGTAGAAGAGACCAGGAGGGCAGTGGACACCACGTGTGGCTAATTAAAGCTTGCTTGTTCTCTCCTGCTCCCGACCTGAGTGTCGGCTGAAGCTCGAGGGCCTTTGGCCTCGTAGTGTCTAAAGGGTCTGGGAGTCTGCAACCGTCCCGGCTGCTCCCCGGGCCTCCTGTGGTACCCTGTTTCTGCCTGGCTGCTGCGCCTGCCATCTGAGATCTCACCTGATGTTAACTGAGGTCAACTCTGTTCCTGCTGTCTCCAGCTTGCTGTCTGTTCTCTGAGTCCAAATATGATCTTATTGAAGGATTTTGAGCAGAGATAGTGCAGCCTCCCAGGAATCATGTTGTTCTTGCTTTAATCATCCCTGGGGAACCCTGGCTCTACTTTTCACCCATCGTCTCTGACCTGGATCCTGGCATGATTCATCATCCCAGCCTGACAACTGGAAGTGCGTGGGCCTAGTAGTAAGCTTCCTGAAGGCAATTGTGTGGCTTGACACACAGGTGGTCGGGGTATGTGGCCTGGTCCCAGGTTTTCACTGGCCGTCACTGCTGGCCTGTGTCAGTTCCCTTCCAAGATAATATGCCAGTTTTACTGGCTTGTGATACTTCAAAACCATTTTTAAAGCTCCAGAGCCTCCTTCTGCAGAGGACTGCAATTATCGGGTCTGAGTTCTCTGAGAACAAATGAAAAGGAAGTGATTAATATTAAAATAGAAATCATATTTGGTTGTGTATAAGGTTGACACAAGGAAAGATTTCTGGCAGTGGAGTTATACCAGCACTGTCAAGGTCTGGGGCACATTTTTCCTACTGTTCTGCCGAACTGGGCACCCTCTCCATGGAGAATGGTCATGGGCAGACAGCCTCCACCAGCCTACACTTCGGACAGCCTAAACAGTCCATGGGACCTGCTCTCAATTCTTCTGCTCCAAATCCAGCTGAAATGCCCCAGATCCTATCAACCCATCTGAATTCTCCACACAGTCGCAAATAGTCCTCCCCCAGGAAACCAAGCTGGAAGCTGTTTTTTCTTCCCCTAGCGTCCACTGCCATGCAGGCCCTGGCCACCCACTCCTTGTTAAGTAGAGTGCAGCCCCCCAGCAGGGTTTTCATTCCAATCACCCCTGAATTTATTGAGCACTTGCTGCATTCTAGCCCTTTACTCGCTGCTGAGAATCTGGCAAGAAAACAGGGGCTCCTTGCTGTCCACCAGGAAAGTTGAACAGTGAACTGTTAGCTAGGAGCGTGCGATATAGTGCTGAAGGGGAGGTGGTCTGTGCTGGTGTGGGGGCTTCCAGACCTCCAACTGGAGAGGGCGATCAGTGAGCACGCTGAAGGCTGAGTAGGAGATGGCCCAGCCCCTCTCGATGCCCTCTTGCACACATGACTGTAGATCTGCCGCAGGAGCAGATAGAGCGGGTCACTTCTGTAGTCACCCAGCACTAGGTCTGAGTAGGGGTGTCATACTTTGCTTGCAAAAGGGAGCTCCTGTGTTAAGTCCCTCCATCTCCCTCACCTTCACCCCCTGGGTTGTCGGGCCAAGAGGGGACCCCTTTCTTCTCACAGGGTCCCAGGAGCAGAGCTGGCGTCAGCTCTACGAGTCCAGAGTCAGAATAGAAATGGGGGAGGAATAAACAGTGTGAGAGAGA